TTAGGAATATGAAAACCTAAGAAATCAATAGACATTTGAACAAAGGTGCATTTTAAAACATATATGGAAAGTCCATATTCCTTAGGTTTTGAAAGTAAGGATGCCTGCTGTGTTTTGGGGAATCATTAGAGGTTATTAGCAAGTCGCCGATGAAAACATTGTAGAACATTAGGTATTTTTTGGAAGCAGGCAAGATAAAAAAATGAGCAATCGCCTTCGCCGGGAATCGAACCACGGACCTCTGGAATACCGGCCCAGCGTGCAGAACCATACTACACCACGAAGGCACGCTAGGAAGGCGAGAGAAATACTTTGTAACATAAACTTCTAAATCTCGCGCGACTTCGTTAATAAAACACTGAGAAGTCGCGGATACCTTATGATGAAGCCGAATTGCATACGGGTACTTTCTTTTTGAATGAATCGAATGGTGTACATGCGACGGTTTTATGAATATCGTCGGGATTGAGGGATTGACGGGTATTTGATGACATGCCTTAATGAAGACAACATGGCAAAAGATTTTAGAACCATGCAATTCAGCAGTAAAATCGGCTAAGCAAACAATTGGATATTTATCTTTTATTGCTTGAGCGTTTAACTCGCGGTGATCACCTATAGGTCTCCATCCAAACGTTCCGTTTTTTTTTTTTTTTTTTTTGTGTGTGTGTGTGTGTGTGTGGAAACCCATGTCTTCACATGAGGATATATAATTGCTTCTCGAAGGTCCCAAATACCTCAATTGCATCAGAGTTGGAAATTCGTGTTTTGCTATTTCTAAGTGATATGGAAATAATCGACGAAGTTGTGAGACCACAGGAGAAGGCTCTTTAGTTATGATGATGAACTGTGTTGTGTTTAACAGGTTAATTAGGACCTCGTAATTTGGTAACTGAAAGAAATTCTTCTAAAATTTTGTGATATGGTGTATCACTAAATACAGTTTTTACTGAATAAAATGCTTGCATTTTTCACGCAACCGACGGTTTTAAAATGCGTTTTTTAAATCTTTGAGACATTTGTTTCTGAGATCAGGCACCAATTCAAAGAAATGGAGAAAATCTGCTCCAAGAATGGGTGTAACATTTTGCTATAAGAAAAGTCCATGTAAACTGTCGTCTTAATTTGAAATCCAAAGAAAGTGTTTTTTGACCATAAACATGAATAGTAGAAGAATTAGCAGCGAAAAGTGTTTGTTGGGACGAATTCCGTTTTTGAGAATTATTTGCTGGAAGTAAGGACACGTCAGAGCCGGTATCGACCAAGAATGAAAGGTTTGTTCTACGGTCACGAACGAACAGGCGACGTGAAACTTGAGGCAAAGAATAAGTCGCCTCTATTCTTTGCTGGTTTCGTTTCCCTGCCATGAACAAGGTTTTGTACATTTGTCATCTCTACACTTTTTTTCCCAAAACGCCTATTGGCTATGATACCAGCAAACAGAATAATCTCTCCTTTTGGAATTGCTTCTTTCCTTATTGCGATCTCCGCGATTTGGCGAGCGACCACGAGAAAGAGAAATGCGATCAATACGTTTGTTTAATTTTTCTATTTGTTTAAATAATTTATCCTCAAGAGACTGATCGACTGTGCGAGAAACGGCACAAGTCCCTGGGGTTGTATTTACTTCTAAAAGATTCTGTAAGCTATTTCCGCAGCTTTGTCTAAAGTCAAACTGGAAGCCACGGCCGAAATATCGAAGGCAAACGCTGAATGATCGAAGGCAAACGCTAAAGAAATAAGACTAACATTAGGTATTCAGGAACATTTATGGATTCTGCTAGATGTATTATATTTCTAAGTTAATCGGAATGCTTTCGAGCACTTAATTCTTCTCTGGGTAATAAATTGCAGATTTCTTTCTGGGAAGATTCTCCTGATCGATTTATTAACTCAGCTTTTAGCTTTGACAACAGACGGTCTCTGTCCTTTCTGGGCTTCTATAAGAACTTCTCCTTAGAGTTGCCCCTACAAGCAGCAACGGGCGCTTTTTATTGCTTACCATAACTCTTCATCACACGTTCCCGCAAATTTTCATTCTCGATGCAAAAAATAAATTTGATTCAATTCTTTTGACGAAAATTCGAAGCAAATAAATTTCTGTTTCTCGCGCAATATTTTCAATAAACACAGATCGACGATCTTGGCTATACTGTTAAATCACTAATTATTTCGGGAACACTTTTTTCTCTCTAAAGTGAGCTCCAATGGAGTTTTAGAAGGCAGGAAAAAGTTCTACTGGCTATCAATTTCCGAAAGTTATAAATACTTGCTACTTTTAGAGCAGGGCAGCTTATTAAATTAAGGCTATTGATTTAAGTTATAATTTTAGTTTATATATTTTATCTTATATATAAGATAAAAATATGTAAATCAGCTTGTGTAACGCCGAAGACAAGGCTGATTATGAACGTGAACTCAAAATTTTGAGATTTGAAACTTTTCTAACCTAAATCAAAACCTTCCTCTTGGTGTGCTTCCATATTGGATAATTGCGCACTTTGCTTGTACCTCTGTTACTGCTCGGATGCAATTTCTTCCTATCGCAATAATATTCAAAATTATAAATTTTCTGGAAAAAGGTACAATTAGAATGCGAAGTAAATTGCGGCCATAAATGTGAATTTAAATAAAAATGGAATTTAATCCGCCTCGACTGCTAAGTTTCCTATGCGTTATGGATTAGCATCGAAAATATCTGTTTCATCACACATGATCATGGGCGCAATACGCACCCCACAAATTTATATACAGAGTATCACAATTTAGATAATGCCATAGTTAGTAGCACGAAAAAAGCAAACAGAGCGAAGTAGCATCTCGACTGCAGAAGAGCTGAAGCTAAAAAGGGCGCAGGAGGTCTTGGTTTAGGTTAGAAAGGTTTCTGTTCTCGAAATTGTGACTTTAGGTTCCGAATTAGTTACGTCATCAGCGTTACGCAAGCCATGCAAGATGGATTGCTCGAGAAATGACGCAGTCCAGAAAAGCTATTATTACGATTTTTTAGAATAGAGATGGGGAATCAAAGGGTTATCGCTAGTTTAAATAATAATTTTTATTTACATTATTTTTTTATCTTGTATATATTTGCGTGTGTGTGTATGTGTGTAAAATATTAAATATTAAATAAAATTATTAAACTTAATTCGAATCAATTGGCAATAGATCACTCAGTTCATAAATTGTATTTAAACACATCCTTGCTTCAAAGTATACGCTTTGCTTCAAAGGACACTCTGCCGCATGTTTTCCCTTCATCATGCCTTCCTTATAATTTCTCTGAACTGCGAGATCTGTACCAATCGCTGCTCAGGATTAACACAATGACCTTTTGGTTATAACTAGGACCGAAGTGAGAACGCACTGCTTTTCTCGCTTCTGTTGCCTGAATAAACCACGTCTCTCGCATCGCCTTCTTCTTCAGTGTATAAAATGTAAACTACGTATATCGAAATTGTGGAGTGTATTTAGTATCCCTAGTGTAGTATCAGTTTAACCGGAAGTAGTTTTCCGGATAATTCTTCTTGTAAAAAATAAAAATGATGTTTTAACCAGCACGCCAGTTGTAATTTTTTTTTTTTTTTTTTTTTTTTTTTTTTTTTTTTTGTTTTTATTTTGGCAGTAGTCCTAAGAAACAGTTTTCTCGGACATTACTCAAGCTTGATTTGTGTTTCATATTCCTTCCCCCCCCGAAAAAAAACCATATCATATACATATCTATATATATAACTTATTCAAATAGTTTTACAAAACAATTAATGAGATGACAAGTCAAAAATAAGTTCAAAATATACCTTCATTATTGCAATATAACATCCTAAGAATTACATCACAGATGTGAACCATGTTTTATATATAATATTTGATCACTTTCTTATTTCTGTGGGAAAGAATCGTATAATAATCAGCTGGTCCTGGAAGTTAAACACACTGCAGTTCTGAAAGTTAAACGATATATATGGATATCATTTAACTTATTTCCTAACTATAAATTGCTTAGAATTTAATTTATGTTTGTTTAGAATTTAATTTACATTTAATTTACGTTTCTGAAAATTATACAACATTTACTAAAAAAATTGACACTTCAACGAATAAAAGCATTTTATATAGTATATATCTAATCATTTTTGATTTGAAATGTCGTTAGGAAATGTACAAGTATAGTTGTTATTCCTAAATATCCATTTATTTATTTATTCTGTAACGAGAATTCCATTCATATAAAATCGGGTACCTGTATCAATAATCTGCATTACTTGATTGACTTTTATTTCGGTTTTCAGTGATCTTCGGTTTTCAGTGTTACTTAAAATAACATAACCATAGAAAATAATAGACTTGCATTTTGCTTTTCTGAGTTACGGCTCGTCCTAATTTTGCAATGATCTAACACGATAATATGATAATATTTACATGGAACCATGGATTAGAAGTTTCTTGAAATGGACACTGTTTATCATATAGAGTATATTCTCTTACATTTAAGATAATTTAAAAACTTTTATAAAAAATTTTAAATGCCTAGGTTATAACAATTGTTCTCGAATACAATAAAGAATATTCAGGGTCAAAACCTAATATTTTTCAAAAATCTGCCTGAGTACTTTCAGCTACCACATTTCAATATTGATTCTTAATTTACTTGAATTTAATGGTTTTAAGTACAGCTATCTTTTAGAAACAAAATATACTCAGCATCTGACCAGAATAAGGATTCAATTGCAAATCTCACTGATAAAAGACGTTGAAATTTTATGGCTATGTATGAAATTTTCTTGACATTTCTAATTCATTTACATCTGATGCTAGTGTAATAAGAAATGCAGATTTATAATAAAGAGTCCGTTACACAAAAAGTGTTATAGAATAGACTAAAATACGTAACATTTCGACTAAATGAGACTGAGTGAATTATGATTATGTGAACAATGTGAAGAAAATGAGCACAATGGTATGTAAATGTTATCACTGTCAGTAAAATAAAGAAACTACACAGGTAACTTTTTCCCATTTTATTGAACTGCTTAACATAGTTTGTGTACAAAACCGTTTCAAAAGCTATGCAAGCCCACCGTAATAGTTACAATTTTATTTACAAATTCATAAATACATTGTTTGTTTAAATTCTTTGGGCAAGAGAAATTCCTAGAATTCATCAAAACTAGTTCTATATGATTTAAAACCTAACAATATTTTAAAGAAATTCTTTGCAAGAAAAACAATTTGGCCTTTACAAATCATATAAGATACAAAGTAAACCAATATATTACAAATACAATAAGTCTTTCGCACGGCTTCAGTAGAATATTAGACACAAATAATTTAAAATGATCTTAAAACAAACATAGTTATTTTAAACATCCTGCGTTTAAAATACGAATAAATATTTCGACATATTGTACAGCATGTACAGTTTTATTTGAAGTTAAATATGAACAAAGAAAAATAATTTATAAGCAAGAAGATTTTAATAGATAATAACATAACAATTTATTTCAAAATAATTGCAACTCATGCAATAATTATATTTTCATTTACAACATATTCAATACACACTGCGTTTTGATTTACAGCATATCCAATACAATGCGTCTGATACGTCTCAGTCCCCGTATTTTGTAGTCAAATGATCTCAAGGGCTGACTTCGATACGCAGTTTCTAAAACTGTCAACGCATTAAGTTGAGCGTTGATGCCGAGTTTAAAACGAAAGTTTGTAAAGCACACAAAGCTTACGTGGTCAAACTTTGAACAATTCAGAAAAGTACTTAATATGTTAAGCATCAGATGGATCTTGGGCAGAAAAGATCACAGATTTATTTTCATAATTAAATTGTATAATTTTCGGAACTCATTTTTGTAGCTATTTTATTAGACATCCTCTTGCGCTATCAACTTCAAAACTCCAAAAGCTTTCTTGTTATGACTGGAGCCTACTACATCTAGGAAAGCTTTCTTCAATAAAAATTCAATAAAACTTGTATCAGTTAGTTGTACAAAATTGATTTCTTTTTACATTGTACAAACTGCTTATGATTTGGTATTGTTTGTCTTCATTTAAACTGTATAAATCATATACGAGAGTACTTACCTGCAGAGAGAAGAGAAAAAAAAACCTGACTGATATTATTGAGAAACCAAATTCTTTTAATGCTTCACAGACTGTTAACAACTGTTTTAAAGTGATGTTTTGAAGGAAAATTTTAATTTGTTTTTAAAGGAAATTAGATGGAACAAATGCTTTTCAATTTCACTTTATTAAGCAAATAGTATTCAACTAGCTCTATATTTAAATTTAATGTATGGATTAATTTCATGTTCCAAAAATGCACTGAATTTTGTTTTGTATGAATTGCAAGTAGAAGTAAGAGTGTTAACACATTATTGCTGATTCTTAACGGATTATATATTCAATTTTCAGTTGAATTATAAATTTACACGTGAAAACAAATTCTAGACACTACAATAACTAACCACCTTCTAAATAAGAAACGTAACTGTATACAAACAATAAATCTCTAATTTAAGATATTGTTATAAAATGAGAATCCGTAAGAATTTGCATAAATGTAATTTTTTTCTAGGGACACTTTATTTATAATTACTTTCACTTGCTCAATTTATGGGTGTATGACATTTTGAACATTTGATTTTGAGCATTTGAATGAGTGAAAACTTTTTACCAAAACCAAATTTTACATGTCAGCATAAAAAAAAAAAAAAAAAAAAAAAAAAAAAAAAAAAAAAAAATTCTGGTACAACATATTTGTAACTACTTCCATTTATTCCAGTTCTGGGTGTGTAACATTTTGAGCATTTGATTTTGATTCTGTGAATGAAAGAAAACTTTTCAAAAATAAATCTTGACAAATTCTGGACATCGAAAAGAAGAAAGAGCAAATGCAGTAAATAAAGAGCAATTCCTCTTAAATTTATTGTATTAAATATGATTCGTTTTTTCCGAAACAGGTAAAATTATTATTTACGTTTAATGCTAAAATGCTGAAAGATTTGCAAAACCTGATTTACACTGTAGAATTTAGGAAATATATCAGTTAGTTGTACAAAATTGAGCTACAAAAGCTAAAAATCTCGCCAATAATATCACTGCTGCATAGAAAGACTAAATATGCTGTGATATTTAAGAAAACTATTCAAGGCGTTTTAAAAAGACGCAATATATGATTGATATAAAAAAATAACAATGCGTATAATTTTTACAACCTAATACAAAATATTTAAGTATGAAAATACATGATTATGATTATGATTTAAACAGTCACTTCAACATGTGGAGCAGAGAAATTTGAATGTACACAATTTTGGAAACGGAAATTCCTGAATGCATGATAAAGAAATCCATTTCAAGTTGAATAAAATATTTCTCATTCTTATTCTAAAACCCATGCGATTCTCAGCATTTTACGATTTTAATCTCGATTAATTCTAAAATTTTTATTGAAGTAATTTGGCATAAAAATTAAGTTGTTTTAGAATATAAATATAAAATTCAGAAACTTAAGAGCTTCTATTCATAGAAGGATAAACATTTATCAGAGACCTGGAAAAACCTGTGTGCTGTATTTATTGTAAGGCCACACCTGTTTGAAAAGGAAAATGGGAATTACGCCCTAAGTTTCAGAAACGCCCTCAGATTCTGAGTGCAAAGCTCAAAAACTGGCTTCGAATGTCAGCGGTGACAGAAACTGGGCAAAGATACAAAAAATCCTGCATACAAAATTGGCAGTTCTTCATTTTAAAATATCAAGGCGTCGTCTTGTATGTGGAAAAACTGAACGGCTTACCCCTGTAACTCATAGGTCTAAATCTACAGTACCATGTTGTAAAACATGTGTGTTAATGGGCGCGACTTCATTCAACATGTCACTGCAAAACACTACTCAATAAATAATTCATACATATCTTAAGAGAGAGCATATTCCATAGAAAAATAAATAATCCGATTGTTACAAAAAAGACATACGAGTTCATCAATTAAATCCGGGATTCGTATGCTCAATAATACAACGCTTACAGAATTTTTTTACAGTCCTATAACCGTCTAACGTTATTGGACAATCTTGTATATTCAGCTGCTGCAAACCGCGGCAGTAATATGCTATTATTTGGATGCCTTCATCTGTTATCATTTCACAGGACTTCACGCTCAGTTTCCTGAGATTCGGACAGTGCTGGGAAATGATTTTTAAACCCCTATCTGTTATGTCACATTTTCCGATGTCTAGGGCTCTCAGCCTCGGACAGCTTCTTGCAATGACTTCCAAAGCATCGTCCGAAACTGCCTCACAGCCACGTACATTGAGATACCGCAGTTTATAGCAGTGCCTCGCAATCTGTCTCACTCCAGCATCAGATATTCTATCGCATTTGGCCACGCTTAAATACCGCATATTAGCGCCAAGCTTCGCTAGTTCATAAAGTCCAAAATCTGTCAGCAGCACACAATCACTAACACTAAGTTCTCTTAACGCAATACAATAACTGGCCACGCTTTTCAGCCCCTCGTCTGTGATTAATGTGCACCGCCTCAGGTACAGATGGGTAAGTTGGGAACAGTATCTCACTATTCTTTCCAAGCCAATGTCGTCAAGTAACTGGCAATCAGTCAAGTCCAAGTGACGTAACCGGAAAGGGTTTGAAGACAAGGCACTGGGATCGAGAGGCCGAGAGTGTATTGACGTGACAGCACAGCAACCTGTAAAAGAAATCAAATTTATTAGAAATCAAATTCGTTATTAAGCGGAAATTTACAAAAACTAAGAAACTTAGAAAATGATTTCATAAATGTCCGAAAAAACTGGCTACTACTTGCAGCTTAAGGATCTTAAAATTAAATTAACCAGACGAGGAAGTCCAGTAGAGATTTTGCAAAAACACAAAACAGTAAGAATATAATATGTTTCAAGTTATTCAGAATTATAGATATATTGCATTACCATAGGTCACGATTTCTTGGTTCAACCGCTAGAAGGCATAAGGATTGAAGAAAAGGAGAAGAAAATCATAAATAGAAACATACAACAGATCCAGCGCAAGCTGTATATAACATTATGAAATAATAGCAAAATTAAATAAGTATATAAATAAATAAAGAATAATAAACTACATCAGAATACATATACAGACGCATTGTAAGAGTATCAGTTGTACGTAAAAACTAAAAATAAACTTTTTGGCCTTTGTAAAATTAAAATGTTACATCCGCCAGACATTTCACTTATATATGCTTTTTTGGTTTATATATGAACTACCGACAAGTTTTTAAAATTGATTTTTTTCTTTGCTTTAACCAGTGATCCGTTATTTTCCCAAATTTCGTTTGTCTTATTGTAGATATATATCGTTGGGGAATTCCTTTCGTGTGTTTGAAATTAACTGATTTAAATCAAAAAAAAAAAAAAAAAAAGATATTTCGTTGCATCTTTTTCGCAATTTCAACAGCATTTCCTTCAAATATACGAAAGAGACGAGATATGATCATACTCTAATTATTGGCAATTTTGTGGAAAAAGAATAATTCCCTTTTAAAAATGCAGCTTTTTTCTTCCATGAGATCAATAATATTAATTTTTTTTTTTTTTTTACTTTTTTTTTTTTTTTTTTTTTTTGTATTTTGCGTTACTATTTATTATTTTAAAAACAATTTAATACTTATTATAAGTTTATGTACCTAGTTTAATCACAAATTTTCTAAGGAATTAGTTTTCCTTTTCATTTCCTAGGGCATAACTAAAACTAATATATAAAACATATATACAGACAGATATACATAGGTATTTTTCAATGACAAGCAATTATTTTTCAACGCTTCTAAATTTACGTTTACATCTGTGCGGGAAGAGTGTTCTAGTCTGAATTTTGCAAGCCGATCTATACATACAACTAATAAACTTCAGTTAAATTAGTGACTACATCTGTGTGTACAGCGTTATAGAGTGAATTTAGGCAAGGCCATCCCGTGTTCCGCTACTAGATAATACCCAGTCAATTCGGGTAATTACATTAGTGTCTGTGTTTTCAGTGTTAACATTTGTATCTGCGTGTTTTATCTGTGGATTCTTATGAAGAGAAGAATAGATGTATATTATCATAAGGTAGGATTTTAAAATTGTTTTATTGCATTGGAGCATTTTTGAGTTTTCATCTTGCATGCCACAGTTTACTATCTCTCTCTGCTAAAATCTACAGTGTCGCAAATTTTGCAATAACTCCGCAACGTACGTTCAGTGGTCTCGTCCGTCTTGTATTATTGTACCTTTATTATTCTACATTACATAGTCATTTTAATTCTCAAACATTGTGCTTATCGAATATTATAATTTTAATTATTGTATTCTTTGAATATTCCTAGTATATGTTGCACTTATCATAATTTAAACATATTAATTCTCAAATATTGTGCTTATCGGTCATCGTAATTTTAATTTCAGTGTTATTTGAATATGCCTAGTATACGCTGAAACCATCATAATTTAAACATTTCAATTCTCAAACATTGTGCCTATCGGATATTATAATTTTAATTTCTGTATTATTTGAATATTCCTAGCATATGTTGCCCATCATAACTCGTGTTAATACTCGTGTAAACATACTCGTGTAAATAACACGAGTTGAGTACGTGTTGAGTGTAAATTGTGTATCTCAGTTCTCCGTAGTTTTCTCTCATTTCATTGTACTTTGTATAATTGAATTAATTCTTTTTTTTGATATTTTTTTGGTATTGGGTTATCTTATATGTAGCTGTTTAATAATTTATTAACGCTGTGCATTTCCCCTATGTTTTGTTCTGAGCTATTAGCTCATACTTATTATGCAATTTTTTTTAATAGTATTTAGTGTGTTCAGTTAAGTTACTTCCAACTGTTTATTTCTTAGATTACCTGTTTATGCTTATTTAAAGGGGCTGGCGGTCGAGGCTCTGTATCCTACTGAGAGGATTTCTCAGTGCGACGGTGCATATAATTCTACGCAATTACCATCCTAGTGCTGAGTTATACCTACTTGTATTATATTACTTGATGAGTTAAACCTACTTGTATTGTTTATGCAAGATAATTTCTAGTCACTAGAATGAGCTCGCAAACTCCAAAATCCCAAGCAAACTCAGATGGTGCTATGATTAATGTGAACGCTTCCCCTCCAGCTGAGACGCGTACCACTACTATCAATTCACCAGCTTCCAGAATCGAGACCATCAATCATCTTAGCGACCAGCTACATTCATTTTTAATGCAAACAAGAGACAGCCGCAAATTCAGCGTGAGCGAGAAAAAACTGCTTGGTTCATTAATTACCTCTATCCGCAATACTTTTGCAGAACAAGAAGTGTACTGTGCAAGTCTGCAAGGAAAAATTCAGCTGCTGCAACAGCAACTCAGCGTGAATGATAATCGTTCTTTAACAGTTCCGGCCACACCAGAAGACCTTCCAGAACAGACGGAAACAGAAGAAACCCCATTTACCGAAGTCAAAAAGAGAAAAAGAAAAGCACGAACTGCGCAACTTAACAAACAGTTATCAGACCACGTCCTCCTATTAAAAGCAAAAGAAACAGATAGAACTCCAGAACAAGTCAGAACACAACTGACTACTGAACTTAGTGCCAGGGAACTGGGCATTACTGTTGAAGAAGTGCGGCCCACACGCTCTAACGAACTTTTAATTAGGTGCAGCCACAGACAAAATATAGAAACACTCAGGAAAGCGATTGAGGAAAAGCCCTCACTCTCAGCAGCAGTCACGCTCAGAGAGCCCTCTTTCAGAAAGTTCCACAATAATCGTCTTTGGTACCCCCACATCCGCAACAGCAGACGACATACGTGAAGCTTTTGCGAGCCTGGTGCCCTCAGCAAGTGAAGAACAAATACATCCAAGAAATCCTATTCGCACAACTATCGGCCACACTTGGATCGTCGACCTACAGCAGAATCTGTACGAGGATATTAAGGACCTTAGAAGAATTCTTATAGGATTCAGCTCTTGTGCTTTCAGAAAATACTTTCAAGTTTGCAAGGTGTTTTAATTGTCAGCGGCTAGGACACTTGAGTCATTCTTGTAAAGCAGCGTTGGCCTGTGTAAACTGTGGACAAGCTCATAGCCAGGATAACTGCAAAGCAAAGACTCCACACTGCGTCAATTGCGCAACTCACAATAAATCCAAAGGCACTAGCTTCGACACCACACACCCGTCTAGTGCAAGACAATGTCAAGCCTACAAGGCAGAACTGTTCAGAATGAAATCAACGGCGCAGTGGTAGCTGAACAGCAGGCTATTGCATATCCAAGTACAGTACATGGTTTTGCAATTCTTCAAAGCAACTTGCAACGCAGCCAAGCCGCAACTGTCCATGCAGCCCAGGTTATTCTAGAAAACAATGTAGATCTAGCTACAAGAGTTTCATTCCATTAACAACAGGATCACAGGATTCAGCAACTTCAAAACTTACCATTCAGTAGGCAATCAAGCAGCCATCGCCTACAATGGTCCACTCACGCCCCTGCTAATGCATAAAGGAGATTACACAGTTACTGTACAACTGGAAGGGCCTTATGGTCAAATTGCCATCACCAGCGTGTATTTTCCTCCTTCGCACGACATTGTCACTGCACTCCAGGAGCTGGAACAAGTCATGATGATTCCGACTAGGAATAAGATAATCGCTGGGGACTTTAACGCTGCTAGCCCTCTATGGGGTGCGCCAGAGGAAAACAGGCGTGCTTGCCCTGTCCTTGACTTCATCACTTCTCATAACCTTGCAGTCGTCAACCCCACCGACAGCCCTCCTACATACTGGACTACCAGGGCTCAGGGGTGGCCTGATATCACTTTAGCCACCACTGGTATTCTTAATAATATTCACAATTGGAAGGTTAGCGAAACTCCCTCGTTCAGTGACCATCGCTACATTGAGTTCAGAATAGATTCGGAGCACCAATTTATAACAAAGAACAGATGGAAAACGAAGTATATAAACCTGAACAAATTTAAAGATGCACTTTCAACCCATATTGAAAGTCTCGTGGCACAATGTAACAATTGCAACAGTAGTAAAGACATCGACGCCATGCATGAAGATCTTATGCAAACACTGCTCTCAGTGTGCGAAAAAGTCTTGAAAAGGAAACATTACGCAGCCCCGAAATGCACTCCTTGGTGGAGCACCACGCTGACTGCTGAACGCAGCAAAGTCCGTGCCCTAAGGCGCAAAATGCAAGCATGCAAGGATCCCTTAGAAAGAGAGACACACTCGCTAATTTTTCGAAAGCACAGAGCTGCTTACAAAAGACAGATTGCAAAAGCGAAGTTTTCATCCTGGAAAGAGTACTGTACCAACACTGCGAATAAGTTCGGAACTGTCTTCCGTATTGCACATGACAAGATGTTTACACCTACTAATCTTACTGCCACAATAAGCCACGGAGCAGCAACTAGCACAGAAGTAGTTGCGCACATTCTGGACAATATCTTTAGACCTGATAACGCAGACACAGATAATCCCGCACAAAGAAATATCAGAGCCAGCGTTGAGCAATATTACAATACCAAGAAAACAGATTTTGAACCACTGCCTAACGCCAAAGAAATAAGCGACATTGTTAAAGCGTTAAACACCAATAAAGCACCAGGTCCTGATGGGATAGATAATGGCATTCTGCAAGCCATTAACAGTATGCATCCGGAGTTACTGCATGCCTACATCACTGCATGTTGGCGCAACAGATATTTCCCAGCCGGCACGAAACTTGGTGAGGTGGTGCTCTTCCTCAAAGCGAAAAAAAGACCCTAATGTACCAACGTCTTACCGGCCTATTTGCCTTCTTCCTGCCTTGGGTAAAGTACTAGAAAGAGTCGTCCTTCAAAGACTTAAAGCACTATATCCTGTCTGGACAAAGCATAAATGACAAACAATACGGCTTCATTCCTGGCAAATCGGTGGATCACGCGCTGCAGCACCTACGAAAATTAATAGCAAATAACAGAATAAATAACCAACATAGTCTCATTATCTCTGTGGATATACAGGGCGCTTTCGACTCGTTGTGGTGGCCCGATGTACTGAAGAGATTACAGGACATGGGTAGCCCTAAGATTCTCTTTGACCTTATTTACAGCTACCTAAGTGATCGCCGCTTACAAGCCACTACGGACGCAGGAGTACACTCACGTTCCATCAATAGAGGCTGTCCTCAAGGATCCTGTCTGGGTCCA